AAATCTCCGATTTTGTTGAGTAGCTGAATGAGGTTCGGATCGAACCCGAGTGAGCACATGTTCCGAAAGAGAAATGCACGATCCACATAGTCGAAAGCGTGACGGAGATCGAAAGATGCTAGCAGACCCCGTTGTTTACATTTGACCAGCTGTGCGATACGATCCTTTAAGGCGAGCGTGGCCTGAAAGATGTTTCGGCTGGAGTTGGAGCATTTTTGACTCTCGCTGAGCACACGGTGGGTTCTCATCACGCTTTCCAGACGCTGCTTGAGGACACGAGAGAGGATTTTATAGTCGAAGTTGAGTAACGAGATCGGCCTGTACGAATGCGCTGTTGGATCGTTTCCCCTCTTTTTTACTAGCACGATCACACCGTCGACGAATTCGGCCGGAAAATTTCCCGAAAGTGCCTCATTTATGACCAGTGTGATTTCTCTCCAGATGACGTCGAACGTTTTGAGATAGAACTCTCGGGGCAGAGAGTCTCCTCCGGGGGATTTGTTCGGGCTGCTCGTCTTGATGGCTGTGAAGATATCGGCCGGAGTAATTTCGTTCATACAGGACTCACTTACCGGATCGTTTTCTGGGATCACCCTCTCACATTCGAATGTGTCCGCTGCTTCCCTTTCCGTCTCACCCGCAGCGTATAGTGATTGGTAGAAACCAAGCATGTGCCGCTCAATTGCGCCGGGGTCGTCGATGAGTTGGTTATCGTTGTCACGCAGCTGTGTGATGGTTGTTCGTTTCCTACGCCTGACACCCAGCTGGAACATCGAGATAGGTTCTCCAGAGATAAAATTCTCGTTGATGCGCATGAAGGATTGTGTGAAGTTTCGCTGAAGGGTCAACATTTTTGCTTTCACACGGTTTATAGTTGACAGCATCGCAGGATTTTGATAGTATCTATCGTACGCTCGTCGTAGTTCTCCATAGAGGCGTTGATGTTCTTGATTGAATTCGTCGAAAGCAGCCTTTGACTTCCAACGGAAAAAGGATTTTATTTTGGGCTTTGCGCACGCTAGCCACCACTGCATCCATGAACCGTAATTCCGCCGCTGGCGGGTCCAGAATTGCCAACGCACTTGAAATTCGTGAATGTTGTCTGGTGTTAATAAATGGGGACGGAGCGACCAAAACCCACGACCTGGCTCGCGCCCTGATTGTGGGAGGCAAATTCGTGCTGTCACGGCTTTATGGTCAGAAAAAGAGCATACATGCACATCAGCTGTTCTTAATTGACTCCGAAGGCTCTGGCTGACGTACATACGGTCTAGACGAGACGACGAGTTGTGTGTGATGTACGTGTAGCCGGGGATGTTTGGACAGAGTTGTTCCCAAACGTCGAGAAGCTGCAGATACTGTACGGATGCGAGAAGAGCGGGGCTGTGATTGTTTCCCGTTGCGTCACGTTGACGTAGGACACAGTTGAAATCACCCGCTACTAGTGTGCGTTCTGTGCCATGGCGGAGGTAGTAAGCAAGAGTATTGGTGAAGAAACGCTCCCTCTCTGCACAGAGTGCGGTACCAGATGGAGCGTACACGTTGCATATTGTTGTGTTTTCCAGTTGTAATGCAATCAACCGTCCGTCTAGGCTTTTTTCGACGTTTGAGAATCGCAGATGCTCCTTCAGCGCTATTGCCGTCCCCCTTCGTGAGTGATCCACATTGCACACAACAGTGTAGCCGGGCAATGTGAGTTGCTCGTTTTCTACTTCTTGAAAGAGTGCGATGTCTATATCCAGCGTGCGTAGAAAGGTTTGTAGTGCGTTGAGTTTTGTCGAGTTGGTGATAGTGTTGATGTTTATCGAGGTGATATTGTAACTGCAGAGAGCCATTATAGTTCGCAGTCTACCTCCTCGCTCGCATCACCGTCATAGTGTTGTCGCTGCTTCTTGCCTGGAGGACGACCACTACGGCGCTTGCTGCTTCCAGAGGCAGATGACCCATCGGATTCGTTACCATCGGTAGTTTGTCGTGTGACCATTCTGCTGACAGAATTTATCAGAGCCGGCGGCGCCATGAGAGTAGCATTTTGCTCGGACTGATTTGTTTTCGCCAGCTTTGACGCAATTGGGTTTTGTTTAGGTGACTTCGGAGCAGCGAGCGTAGGCTGCACGGTCGGTTGTTGGGATGGTGGATTTTTACGTTGTTGGTTCGTCTCAACGGGCTTCGGTCCGAACGGTTTAACGAGAGGCGATTTCTCCTTCGTTGCAGTGGGTTTCGTGGCGTTGGGTTTTGGCGCGGTGGGATTCGGGCCGATGGGACTCGGGCCGATGGGTTTCGGTCCGGTTTCTTTTGCTACATTGGCATACGTCTTCTGCACAAGTAATTTCTTGTTTTGTACACAAGAGATGCCATTGTGGACGAATTCGCCGCAATGACGGCATGTTTGCAGCTGTCCGGAGTAGGTCACATTCGTTGACTGACCGTCGATAGTGACGTAGCTTTCGATGTTACGTTGCAACATCATGCGCACAATCCGAGCGCCGGTCGGGCGTCCAGCAAAGCGGTATTTGCTGTCCCAGACTTGCTCGGTCACCGAGAGAACCTCACCGTATGCGCTTGGAGCTCGAGCGACTTTTTCGTTCGTGGTGAGCTCGGACAGGTCCGTTAGCTTCACCTCTACCGATCCATCCTCCAGTGTGATCCGAAGCTTGTACGTTTTGCCGTCGACCTCGATTTCGTGGATGTTGTCGTGCTCGGCAACGATTTTTTGTGCCAGCTCCAGGTCGACAACCTTCACAAAAGCGCATCCAAGAGCCCTACTTGGCTGGAGTCGGAGCACCTGCTCGTATTCTAGACCCAACTCGATTGCAACGAAATCATGAAGCTCCTCGAAGGACGGCTTCTTCGGCACGTTTTCGTAATGAATACGAAACGTGTTTTCGCGTCGGACACTCATCGCGGCGGAACTACGCGGCGACAAGAACTCGCGAAACAAAACTCTTCAAAATAATGAAAACAATATAGCTTGCGAATGCCTTCCAGCGAGAATAAATCGACTGCTTCGCTTGGAAGTTGAGCGCTAACTAGGATCGCTTCCGATTTTGACAATTTTGGGTTGGAAACTCAAGCGTTGATATCAACAAACGCATATTCATCTATCTAAACATCATCTATCATCTAATGAACTAATTTGTTCATTTCACTCGTACGTTGACAGCGATGATTTTCAAAACAAACGTAATGCATCTACACTGGGTAGAAGCGATAGTCATTGCTTGTGAAGGTGAATGAGAAAAACAGACACTGCGGACTACGACTTGGACAACCCTGGCATCCGGCGAACATTACCATCGACGGTTTGGTCACGTTTGGCCATCAATGCCGGTAGTCAATTAGGTCACCAACCCTCCGTGCAGATATTTTCGTTGCTTCCAGAGTTATAACTTGAAGCTTGAAGGGTTTGAAACAATCACAGCAAAGCAAGTGCTCAGGAAGTGACAGTTCACATCACGGTACACACTAAAAATAATTTCAGCATAATGCTCGATAAATCTAACACATTCAAGGTATCGATGAATAGTGGATGAAATCGGATAATATTGAAAGGCGCGCGTTTATTTATAACGAATCGAATTTATCCAAAAAAAAATAAGCAAATTCTATTGGGATTCGTTAAAAGAAATGTAGAACGGATAACTTTCGTCCCCCTCGATTTTCAGCCCACACTGAAACAAGGACCATAGTTAGGACTACCATTTTGCAGAAAACACTTATTTTCAATACAAGCACGCTTATTACCGTTCAATCTACTTTGATTTCAGTAAAGTTTACCATGAATATAAGCAAATTTACTATGACTCTGGTAAAACTACTATGCTTGCTCAAAATGCATAGTTATTTTGATAGAAATAACAGTAACATCAAATGAAATTGTTTCCGGCAAAAATCTATTGGTGAGGGTTTTTAATTTAAACCAGCAATATAGTATTTTTGCCAATGGATTTTGTATCAGTGTATCTTCGTTTAATTTGAACTTTTGTCTGTTTGGCTGTTTGTCTCTTCTACTTTAAATTGTTTGTCCCTTTCACCTTTTGTCCGTTTGTATTGTTGTTTCACTGGAATTGCTATGACCTTTTGTCCTTCGACCTTTCTAATACCATAGATTAGATCAATGTGATTCCACGATTCGTTAATGACTCGTTATCTCTGGTTTTACTTCCATTTTGGTTGCATAAAATTAGCCCTGTGTCAGTGATAAATTCACTTACTCGAAAGGAAATTTCCCCGGAAAAATTTGAACAATCAATCGTCTGTGTGCTTCCCGCAAATAAATTACGCTCACTTTCACATGATTAATTGGAGATTATGATTCGAATGATATATTAGCTTAGCAGGACGAAGAAACCACAAGGAAGGAAATCAAATCCCCCCTCATGCATCAACACCGGGAAGACTGACACAGAAAGATGGGTCATTTTTTGATATGTGTATGTATGTGTGTGAATGTATGTGTTCGCATTCTCGGATTACAAACGTGCCCGTTGTGCCTATCCCCTCAGTGATGATGTGACGACTTGATGGATCAGATTGATGGTCTGACTTTGGGGGAGATGTCCACCCGCCAACATGACCATTATGGTCGATGATTATGTCGTTTAGCAAAATGAGCGTTCTTTTTTTCATTGGTCAGGATGTAACAGATACCGAACGTGCAGCGTGTGATAGTGACAGATAGACCAAGCTATTCGAGAAAGATGCGAATCTGATTGATTGACTGACCTCTCGGCTTTTCGCTGTTTCGGTTTTTGTTTTGCGTGCTTTGTTTGGAATTTATTGCCGCCATTTGTAAACGGGGATATTACCCCTCTAAACGACCCAATCGGAAAGTTCATCAAGATGGCAAATGTTAGCATGGGTAGGTGGGCGAATGGGGGTAGGATAGGTCACGTAAAACGTCATTTGTATCGTACCGTATCGCGGGAAGACCCCATTCACCACGTGTCGCTGGGAGCTGAATCGTTCCGAAGGGAGACATAATGGACGTCATCACTTACCAGGTTATGTCGGTGAGGACATTTTTCCCGCTGAAGCTGTATATCCGCGGGGTCTGCGGGAAGTAGCCACCCTGGCCGTTGAAAATGCTATTCCACGAGTTGAATAGCACGTCCCCTCGGGTGTTGACTACTGGAAGCCCTCGGTCCGCTATCCGCACGATGGTGTCCAGGTTGGTGATTCTGTTGAGGGGGAAGGAAAAATAGGAAAACGGTTGAGTTTGGCGGTTTAAAAATATTTCAATATTTAAGAACTCGTGGTTCATCTTACGCTCCTAAATACAGTAGAACAGCAATAGCACATCACCCAATTGGGCCTAACAATTTGCCTCAATTTAATTCTTGCGCATTGCCGAAATCGCATTGCGTTCGAGCGGTCCAAAAGGCAGCTAAACCGAAATCCCGAAATAATGGAAATTCCAAACAATTCAGTGTGTTTCACGGAAAATAACTGGGACGTAAATTGCGCCACTAGTGCGCACGAGTTGCCTTTGATGGAATTGTTTGTGAAGAAGTATGGAATTTTCGACAGCAGTAGGCATCTACCTATTCCGCCAGCATGTAGGTACCAACCGGAGTGAGCAAGTTCCCGCACGGCATGCGTGGTGTACCGACAAACGGATAAAGTCGTAAAATTAGCGTACCGGAGGCTCATTTGGGAAAATCACAGCCTCCGGTGTTTAACTGATTCGGATGGAAAAGTTGTCCCCAGCGGGCGTTGTCGTCAGTAGACAGCAAAAACGATAACAGCGAGGACTGAGAGGGAGATAGTCATTTGGAATAATGTCTAATTTTATCGCATCCGACGAATTAACGTATGTCTGTGAGTGAGGTTTTCAGTGCGGAGGGAAATAATGACGCTAAACTGAAAATTGGCATCCTGGGACTCCGAGTCGATATGGTTTTTGGAGGGAGAGGATAGTTCCAATTGGTGGTTCGTTCAAACGACGCCGACAACGACGACGATGATGGCAGTTAGTCAAAATTGGCTCTATCATGTGGTGGAGCGTTGAGCTTGTCTTAATTTTCTATGACTTTGATAAACTGCGAGCTATATTTAGTATTGCGAGGAGACTTGTTAGCCTATCAAGGATTGCGTTCTCATGCCTCATATATACTGTTGCAGAGCGACGGAACTTTATGCAATTTTCCAGGTGTTTAAACTCTTCCACGCTCAATTAGTTTTTGGGTGATTTAAATATCAATCAACGGGAGCTAATTAAAATTGCCTGAGTTGTCCAGAACTTTTAGGGGAAATTTTAATGTTTATAAAAAAGTTGTTTAAAAAAAAATATATGCGTTAAAAAATATGTTTTTATGTTTTTAGATTTCACACAAAAATAAAATATGATAATAGGAATTTTGCAGAATTAATCATTAAAAGAAGCTTTAGTTATTCATTTAGACAAGTTAGCAGGATGGGTTTATCAAAAAAAAAAAAAAAAATGGCGTTCAAAAAACTTTGTGCTTTCCTTATTTGTATGGCACTTTATTCACAATATTACAAAATGATCACGGTACACTGAATTTTGAATTTTTTACGCAAAGTAATTTTAACACAACTTGGAAAGCCGAGATGTTGTCAAATTATAAAGAATATTGTTCTAGTTTTAGTAAAACACTCTAGAATTAGTTTAGTAACACTCAAATAGTCTCTTTATTGACTAGCGAACTGTACTCTTCGATACGCTACAGAGTTCTCTCTCACTCGATGAATTAATCCCAATGAATGAAGTAAGAAGAAAGAAATGAATGACAACCCTCAAGGGCTGTACTCTGTAGGGATGTGCACATTCTACACATCCTCCCTGTTTCAACGAAACTACATAGTCCTTCAGCTTCTCTGGAATACGGGAAACCCGTTTTGGACGACTGTCGATTGAACTGCACAGAAAAAATTCTGAATTTTAATTGTGATGTAAATATTCATCCACGTAAATTTGTATTTCATATCACGCAAATGAGCAACTTGTAAGCAATATTGTTTGCAAAGATGGGCTTTTGTATACAACATTAGCAACATTTCATGAAATGTATCAGAACTTTCGATTTATAATGAAAACTTATATGATATGTGACGCTCCATTTATGTGCATCATATTGAACAGAAATTTACTCTACTTTTTCGATCTGTGTGGATGCTGAATTCGAACTCTTCTTGGGTTTCGGTGACTGACACATACGAAGCGCTGGAATCGGTAGTATCGGCGGAGTTGAAACTGGCACCACTGCCTGAGGTGGTAACTTGTGCTGAGAATTCTGGTTGAGAACTGATTGAGAACTGTCAACTGGATAACCGTAATTTGTATCATTGTATCTTCATTTTCTCCTTCCGGTGGCATCGAAACAGGAACTGAGTTTGTTGTGAACTTTTCCAGCGACGATTCGGGTTCCTTACGTGGCTTCAAGTGTTTTAAACTTCAACGTTCACTGTGTAAGATCGATCACTGAGACGATTTGCAACGGTTCCAGGTGTCCATAGTTTGGAAATATCCGGATTCATCTGCACGTACACTGCAGATCCAGTCTGTAGCTCAGGTAAATTTCTTAATTTTCTGTCGTACCTCAATTTAATCTTTCGTCTGTTTTCCTCAATTGATTCAGGAATATGTTCGACAACTTTCGGCATAAGATTGGCCCCAGATGTTGGAATTCCACAACGTGTAGAACGAGAAAACAAACGAGCAGCAGGACTAGAGCCAATTGTATTCGGAATGTTTATCCAATGCAAAAGTGTATACCAGAAATTCGTTCCGGTTTCCTCCGACTTCGTCAGTAAACGCTTTGCAATCTTCACGGCTGCCTCCGATTTACAGTTTGCCTGCTGATGATGAGGAGCTGAAGTGATGTGGTCGATATCCCATTCAGATGCAAACTTTCTCATTCTCTGGTTGATGAATTATCGAAAATCTTTCCGATTTCATATTCGTCCTCGCTTGCCTCCGATAAACTTTCGAATCGGTACTTTCGTCCTTCACCTCCTTCACCTTGCGCGACTTCCTGTAGTGGAATCTGTTGCTGGCCTTGCATACCTTTTGGAAATGGGTCTTTCCGTTGCACCTATGGCACCGCTTACCAAGAGCGGGACATGAACCTTTAGATAAGTCATGACGATCTCCACAGAACTTGCACCGTTGCGATTGAGGCTTGGAACTGAATTTAGTTTTCGCGACTTTGTTCGAGACTTTGTTCACCTCCACTTCCGGATAGGATACTGAAAGTTCCTGTGACCGCTTAGTCGTAATCTCATCAGCTCGGCACATGTCTATTGCTTTCGTTAACGTTATGTCCGCCATGCTCAACATTTTAGTACGCATACTTGGCCACTTGTTGGACGTGACCGCCTTATATGCGATGAGTTCAGTCTCCAGCACTCCGAGTTTAGCCATTTTTGCCAGAGTCTTAAGACGAGAGGCAAAATCGTCGATTGATTCTCATGAATAGTCAAGCCGGTCCACTATAATATTCCTCTTTGCGACAACTTTCTCTCGTATGGCAACGTTATGTTTTTAGATTTCACACAAAAATAAAATATGATAATAGGAATTTTGCAGAATTAATCATTAAAAGAAGCTTTAGTTATTCATTTAGACAAGTTAACAGGATGGGTTTATCAAAAAAAAAAAAAAAAAAAAAAAATGGCGTTCAAAAAACTTTGTGCTTACCACTTTATTCACAATATTACAAAATGATCACGGTACACTGAATTTTCGCTTGCCTCCGATAAACTTTCGAATCGGTACTTTCGTCCTTCACCTCCTTCACCTTGCGCGACTTCCTGTAGTGGAATCTGTTGCTGGCCTTGCATACCTTTTGGAAATGGGTCTTTCCGTTGCACCTATGGCACCGCTTACCAAGAGCGGGACATGAACCTTTAGATAAGTCATGACGATCTCCACAGAACTTGCACCGTTGCGATTGAGGCTTGGAACTGAATTTAGCTTTCGCGACTTTGTTCGAGACTTTGTTCACCTCCACTTCCGGATAGGATACTGAAAGTTCCTGTGACCGCTTAGTCGTAATCTCATCAGCTCGGCACATGTCTATTGCTTTCGTTAACGTTATGTCCGCCATGCTCAACATTTTAGTACGCATACTTGGCCACTTGTTGGACGTGACCGCCTTATATGCGATGAGTTCAGTCTCCAGCACTCCGAGTTTAGCCATTTTTGCCAGAGTCTTAAGACGAGAGGCAAAATCGTCGATTGATTCTCATGAATAGTCAAGCCGGTCCACTATAATATTCCTCTTTGCGACAACTTTCTCTCGTATGGCAACCAATGTTGTTTCCGGGTTTGCACTTTCCGCTGCTGTCAACTCGAAGTTAAAATACTTTTTCCTTGCTGGCTTGACCGACAGCAAGAAACTTATGTACTTTCTGTGAGTTTTCTTCCGGTGGCCACCGGTCCATACCAATGGCCTTAGCGTAGTCTTTCCAACTTTTCTTAAAAAAATCTATATTCTCTTGCATGTCACCCTCCACCGCTAGAGGCGACAGCTGCGGAACCTGCACATTCGACGCACTTGGCCCACAGAGAACAGACATTGAGGCTCGAACAAAATTTCTCTTAAAACTTGTGTAAAGATTCGTATTTGACTTAAGCGCTACTAACGGTGACTTCCCCACTTAAAAACCTTCTTTGACAACATGATGGCGCTGGCGTTGCAAAACTTACAGTAGACACTAAGTGCTGGTAGCGCCAAGTGGCAATTTTCAACAGATAATTTATCGATACTAGCGCCTAATTGGTTGAAAATGATAAATTTATAGAGGAAATCAGGAGATGCTAGCACTACGTAACGGCGACGCTGTGGTGCACGAAATAAAAGATGTGCCCATTCTTTGTTAAATTAAATACGGTGCGCATATTATTTTATGCTTACTTGACCGATACGCTGTATCGAGGCACCACGCTACGGCAAGTGCACTGCAGTTCAATCGATCGCTGAGTACAAAGTTCTATACGCGAAGTATTGATTATTTTGTCACGCTGACTTCAGCATAAGTCACTCCAGAAGTCTCCCCATTAGAACCCGTGCAAATGAACAATGTAGCGCAACATAGGGCCACCTATTTAAGGCCAACGAAATTGATTAATAAAGCAGTTGTGTTCTGAAGTCTATTCAGTACAAGTACTTATAGCCTCTACGCTCTTATTAGGGATCCCTCTGGGTAGTCCCTG